ACAATGATAACACAAGTCGCCAAAACGTATGGGACACATTAAAAGCAGTTATAAGAGGAAAATATATAGCAATACAAGCTCACATAAAGAAACAAGAAATAGCTCAAAAAAACAACCTAACATCCCACCTTAAAGAATTGGAAAAAGAACAGCAAAATAACCCAAAAGCCAGCAGAAGACCAGAAATAATAAAAATCAAATCAGAAATAAATGAAATGGAAGTCAGGAAAACAGTCCAAAAAAATCAATGAAACCAAAAGTTGGTCCTTTGAAAAAATGAACAAGATAGACAGGCCACTAGCCAGACTCACAAAGAAAAAACAAGAGAAAGCACAAATAAACAGAATCATAAGTGAAAGAGGAGAAATCCCAACAGACCCAGCAGAAATCAAAAGAATATTATCAGAGAATACTATGATCAACTATATGCAAACAAATTGGACAACTTAACAGAAATGGACAAATTCCTACAATTCTACAACCACCCAAAGCGAGTTAAAGAAGAAATAGAAAAGCTAAACAGACCAATCACAAGCAAGGAAATAGAAGAAGTAATCAAAACCCTCCCCCAAAATAAAAGTCCAGGACCAGATGGATTTACAAATGAATTTTACCAAATATTCAGAAAGAACTTGTGCCCATTCTACACACTCATCCAAAAAATTGAAAAAGAAGGAATACTACCACAAAAGTTTTACGAAGCCAGCATCACACTAATACCAAAACCTAATAAAGAAAACACAAAAAAAGAAAACTTCAGACCAATTCTCCCTAATGAACACCGATGCAAAAATCCTCAACAAAATCTTAGCTAACAGAATCCAACAATGCACTAAAAGAACAATACACCACGACCAAGTGGGCTTTATCCTAGGAGCACAAGGATGGTTCAACATCAGAAAATCAATTAATGTAATCCATCACATCAACTGACAGAATAAAAACCACATAATCATTTCGATAGATGCGGAGAAGGCTTTCGACAAAGTTCAACACCCATTTATGTTTAAGGCCCTTGAAATCCTCGGAATAGAAGGAACATACCTCAACATGATAAAATCCATATATGATAAACCCACAGCCAATATTATCCTCAACAGAGAAAAGCTGAAAGCCTTTCCTTTGAGATCAGGAACAAGACAAGGGTGTCC